TCGGTATTACTTCGTTCGGTTACGTATTGCTAGTTATGAAGTTGCTTCCCTGTTGCCACGAGGACTAGCGGCGGCAGCTGAAAGGAGAGAGACAAGCAGTGCTTACCTTAACATTTGGTATGGTGTTGTACACTAGATGCACTACACCTTTGGTGCGCGCGAACACACACATACGTCATTGGCTTTAACCTTTACATATTTATTAAGGCCAGTATTAGCCTATGTTGTGAGTTAATAATAGTTATCAATATAATTATGGTGATTAGTTGCATGTTCTCAACGCTTTAACTTTCTGATACTATTCCTGTATGATATTAATTCTGAATAACCACAATTTTGTTTTACTTTTTTAATAAGTAACCAGGTAAATCTTGGTGGGACCAGGGATTTTATCATGGTGGGACCAGGGTTTTTTATCCTGTGGGACCAGGGTTTATATCACGGTGGGACCAGGGGTTTATATCATGGTGGGACCAGGGTTTTATATCACGGGGGGACCAGGGTTTTATATCATGGTGTGACCAGGGTTTTTATCATGGTGGGACCAGGGTTTTTATCACAGTGGGACCAGGGTTTATATCACGGTGGGACCAGGTTTTGCTCATGGTGGGACGAGGTTTATATCACGGTGGGACCAGGGTTTATATCATGGTGGGACCAGGGTTTTTATCATGGGTGGGACCAGGGTTTATATCACGGTGGGACCAGGGTTTATATCACGGTGGTACCAGGGGTTTTTATCGTGGTGGGACCAGGGTTTTTTATCATGGTGGGACCAGGTTTTATCACGGTGGGACCAGGGTTTATATCACGGTGACCAGGGTTTTATATCATGGTGGGACCAGGGTTTATATATCACGGTGGGACCAGAGTTTTTATCACGGTGGACCAGGGTTTTTATCATGTAGGGACCAGGGTTTTTATTACTGTGGGACCAGGGTTTATATCACGGTGGGACCAGGTTTATGATGGTGGGACCAGGGTTTTATCATGGTGGGACCAGGGCTTTTATCATGGTGAGACCTGGGTTTTATATCATGGTGGGACCAGGGTTTTTGTCATGGTGGGACCGAGGATTATCATGGTGGGACCAGGGTTTATATCACGGTGGGACAGGGTTTTTATCATGGTGGGACCAGGGGTTTTTTTATCATGGTGGGACCAGGTTTTTATATCATGGTGGGACCAGGGCTTTTATCATGGTGAGACCTGGGTTTTTATATCATGGTGGGACCGGGGCTTTTATCATGGTGGGACAGGGTTTTATCATGGTGGGACCAGGGTTTTTATCATGGTGAGACCAGGGTTTTATATCACGGTGGGACAGGGGTTTTATCATGGTGGGACCAGGGTTTTTATCATGGTGGGACCGAGTTTATCATGGTGGGACCAGGGTTTTATCACGGTGGGACAGGGTTTTTTTATCATGGTGGGACCAGGGATTTATGATGGTGGGACCAGGGTTTTTATCATGGTGGGACCAGGGATTTATCATGTGGGTGGGACCAGGGTTTTTTATCACGGTGGGACCAGGGTTTTTATCATGGTGGGACCGGGTTTTATCATGGTGGGACCAGGGATTTATCATGGTGGGACAGGGTTTTTATCATGGTGGAACAGTAGATGATAAACTTCTGAACAAAAAGAATCACTAACAAGTTTATATAATACCGAAGAAAAATCATCGTACGATATATATCTAAAGTGTAGTGATCATTAGCCCTCGGTGCATCATGAAGACACAACGTTGAATATTTATAAGTAATGACTAGAGATAATTTATTTCACAACGAAGGTCATTAGCGAGTGTGACTTCCTAATAGTCTAAGGAAACTGAGGAGACGTTCGTAGTACTGTGAGACTGGATGGTCAACAGAGTCATTATTACTACACCACCCTCACACCTGCCATCACACTACACCTACACCTCAACACCTGCCATCCTCAACGTGCCATCACCACACCTACACCCTCAACACCTGCCATCACTACACCTACACCTCAACACCTACCATCACACTACACCTACACCCTCAACACCTGCCATCACACCACCCACCCTCAACACGTGCCATCACACCACACCTACACCCTCAACACCTGCATCACCACCTCACCCTCAACACCTGCCATCACCCACCACACCCTCAACACGTGCCATCACCACACCTACACCCTCAACACCTGCCATCACACTACACCTACACCCTCAACACCTGCCATCACACCACACCTACACCCTCAACCGTGCCATCACACCACACCTACACCCTCAACACCTGCCATCACACCACACCTACACCCTCACACGTGCCATCACACCACACCTACACCCTCAACACCTGCCATCACACACCCCTACACCCTCAACACCTGCCATCACACTACACCCTCAACACCTGCCATCACACTACACCTACACCCTCAACACCTGCCATCACACCACACCTACCCCTCAACACCCTACCATCACACTACACCTACACCCTCAACACCTGCCATCACACTACACCTACACCCTCAACACCTGCCATCACACTACACCTACACCCTCAACACCTGCCATCACACCACACCTACACCCTCAACACCTGCCTCACACACCTACACCCTCACACCCATCACACACACCCCCTACACCCTCAACACCTGCCATCACACACCACACCCTCAACACCTGCCATCCCCACACCACCCTCCAACACCTGCCCATCACCACACCTACACCCTCAACACCTGCCATCACCACACCTACACCCCTCAACACCTGCCATCACACTACACCTACACCCTCAACACCTACCATCACACCACACCTACACCCTCAACACCTGCCATCACACTACACCTAAACCCTCAACACCTGCCATCACTACACCTACACCTCAACACCTGCCATCACACCACACCTACACCCTCAACACCTGCCATCACACTACACCTACACCTCAACACCTGCCATCACACCACACCTACCCTCAACACCTGCCATCACACCACACCTACCCCTCCAACACCTGCCATCACACTACACCTACACCCTCAACACCTGCCATCACACCACACCTACACCCCTCAACACCTGCCATCACACCTACACCCTACACCTCAACACCTGCCATCACTACACCTTCACCCTCAACACCTGCCATCACACTACACACCCTCAACACTTGACATCACACCACACCTACACCCTCAACACCTACCATCACACTACACCTACACCCTCAACACCTGCCATCACACTACACCTACACCCTCAACACCTGCCATCACACTACACCTACACCCTCCACACCTGCCATCACACACACCACCCCTCAACACCTGCCATCACACTACACCTACACCCTCAACACCTGCCATCACACTACTACACCCTCAACACCTGCCATCACACCTACACCTACACCCTCAACACCTGCCATCACACCACACCTACACCCCTCAACACCTGCATCACACACACCTACACCTCAACACCTGCCATCCACCACACCTACACCCTCAACACCTGCCATCACACTACACCTACACCCTCAACACCTACCATCACACCACACCCTACACCCTCAACACCTGCCATCACACTACACCTACACCCTCAACACCTGCCATCACACTACACCTACACCCTCAACACCTGCCATCACACTCACACCTACACCCTCAACACCTGCCATCATCACACCCTACACCTCAACACCTGCCACCACATCACACTACACCCTCAACACCTGCCATCACACTACACCTACACCCTCAACACCTGCCATCACACCACACCTACACCCTCAACACCTGCCATCACACCTACACCCTCAACACCTGCCATCACACACACCTACACCCTCAACACCTGCCATCACCACACCTACACCCTCAACACCTGCCATCACACCACACCTACCCTCCAACACCTGCCATCACACCACCTACACCCTCAACACCTGCCATCACCACACCTACACCCCTCAACACCTGCCATCACACTACACCTACACCCTCAACACCTGCCATCACACTA